GCTTTCCGTATACGTGCGCCCGTCCGTTCGTGTGTGGGTCTTGAGGTGTACGCGCGTGGCGCACGTCGAGCTTCTGCAGTTCATACGCGCATACGATAACGGCCGAACGTGCGCCGCAGCCGTCGTCGCCGGGGCTTGCTTAGGGCCTACGTGCAGGGCGTTGCGCGATCGTGGTGCCTGGATATCGATGGTACCAGGGAGAGAGAGAGTGACGTTAAAGGGCCAGGCTAACTGGATCGATCGAACATTGGTGATTTATAACGCGTGCCGGATTTCTTTATGATCGAGCCATTTGAATCGACAGTGTGTAGGTAAATCGATTACGTTGGTCGCTTAAGGCAACGGGCATTCAGGCACAGCTGATGACCTTGACGGGATCGTTAATGTCCTTATATGAGATAATCGTCATTATTGCTCGATGGGTTGCGACTTGCGTATAAGCCGATGTGACGATAATGCGCGTCCGATGATCTGACGTCGATCGAGCTTTTACGTGTCGCACATATAGGAAGGGGAAAGACATCGTAGAGCGAGTTTGGTAGAAACGCAGGAAGTACCAAGGAACCGGAAACTCTCGAGAGGAAGAACGGGAACGGCGGCAAGTACACGTCAGCACTTCTCTCTCTCTCTCTCTCTCTCTCTCTCTCTCTCTCTCTCTCTCTCTCTCTCTCTCCTATTCTCACTCTCACTCTCGCTACCTCCCACCCCTTTTCACTCTCTCGTCTTTTTCTTCACCCTCTCTACGCCACAGCGACCTTCTGTCTCTCTTCTCTACGGTTCGCATGCACACGCGCTAACGCACACACAGTAGCTCGCTCTCTTTAACTCTAATAAAAAGTCTCCTTTATTCTCTACATTTTCTCCCATATTGCACAACGAGGAGATTAATCAATTAATTCATCGTAATTTTCAATGAAAAATCAAACTCTACCCAAATACCTCGGATTCACTGGGGCAAAAACGAATCTCTACCGATTCGTTCGTTCAAACGAATTCTCTTCTCTATCCGTCGTCTCGTCGACGATGAGACAGTCGATTACGAATAACGATATAAGTGCTCGAGGGTCCCTGGGATTACTGGTTCATCGCTTCGCGAATTCCTTAGAGTCGAGCGCCTCGACGTCGCGTTATATCGAGTGGGCGTAAAGGTGGATGTATCGGGTGCGCCGAAAGTAAGACGAAGGTAAGACGAAAAGGAATAAGGGCTGCCGCGACTACCGTCGCACTGCGGCCCACCACTTTCCCTTAAAATTGCCACCGTTCTTACCGAGTGTTGTCGACCAAACTTTCATTGTTGTTATTAAATAATGCGAGTCTCGTCGTGACTCAATGCTGTCACCTCGCGCTCGTCATCGATGCAACACCGCAGTCCTATTTATCCTATATGATAGCTTTTTGGCTAATTTCGCTGTTGCTATAGTATTAGTGATAGATTAGCGATATTGTTAGATTGTCGGTGATCGATATCATTGTTTTTGAAGAATTTGTCACTCGATAATTTATTGCTTGTAAAACGGTGCGTCGATATTTCTCTCTCTCTCTCTCTCTTTCTCTCTCTCTCTCTCTCTCTCTCTTTGTCCTTCCTGTTCTTTTACTTATTCATTCCTTTTCTCTTGTTTTTTCTTCTTTTTGTTTTTTTTTTATTCTACGCGATGCACAAATTTCGAACGTACAATTATAAAGACTCGTTGGCTAATAGAAGAATAAAGAGAATAATTGAAAAAGGCATTGCTGGCTTGGTGAGTGCGGAAAGCAAAAACAAGAATGCGAACCTTGAAAATGCGAAGAATGCAATTGAGTATCAAGTGGTTTAACAAATTTAGATGACATTCCGAATTGGGTCAATAACTTGTTTGAGACATGTAATTTTAGAAATTTAAAGATTCTTAATTTCTGGACCATAGTGAAAATTCTCAAGTTATGTGAATGCTTCGCACGTTTTTAAAAATTTCGTGCGCGTGTCGGTGTTGACTAATGACATTACAGAAATCGCATCGATTGGTATTTTGCATTGAATGACTTGAGAATTTTTTTGGTTGAAGATGGCTTAAGTGTTTGTTGCCACACTTACCACCTGTTTTTAACACATCTCATTAATTTTCAAATTGTTGTGATAGAGTTAAAGCGTGTGTAATTGCCGTAATAAATTAAGTGATAGACTCGATTTATAATTGTAGTGTGCTGTTATGAAATTTATTCGGTATTATTTATGGCCCTCGTTATATGCACTATTATAATTTACGATATATATGGTAGATAATATGGTTGATGTAACGGGTAGATATACCAAGGTGTCTCTGTATAACGCTTCTTTTTTCTTCTTTTTTTTTTTGCCCGAATAATTGTGTCAAAAAGTTTCATTCTCAATTTAAAATATAGTGACTTTATAAGTGCATAGGACGGGTATGAATTTGACTATGGAGTCACTTGCGTCTTGAATTTCGAGTGCTTGTTTGTTTGGGTGTATGCGTGTGCGTGTGCGTGCGTGTGTGTGCGTGCGTGTGTGTCTGTGCCTGTGTGTGCGCGCGCGCGCGCGCGTGTATATAAAAGGCTTTTTATTATATGAAACTTAATCGCTTATGAAGCCACTGTGAATAATAGTAATAAAGTTCTATTATATTATGATATGAAGAATTTACGTTTATGAACGAATGAAGAATAAGTGTTCGATATCGAGTTACAAAAAAATTCAAGTAATCATGAATAATTCATATAAATATATAAGTGTGTGCATTAATTTTTTTTTTTTTTTTAATACATTTGATTATTTATTTATTCATTAATATTATTGTAAAAGTAAATATAATGTTTTAAACGAGATGTTGATATTCCAAAAAGTACCAGATGTTAAAAGAAAAATTGTTTTATTTACAAACGTGAATTACAGAAGTAAGTATTTATTTATACATATTATTTCGTTATTGCTATTGTTCTACATACCATCTGCAACGTGATAAAATTTTCAGAAAAATCATGCCGTAGATGATTTCGCCGTAAATACATTGTAATTGAAAACATACATTAGAATATGAGTTAAGAATTTAATAAAAATACTCGAGAAAAAATATTTATTTATTCAATATATTATTAATAAATTTAATATATATATATATATATATAAAGCTACTCGTTTTTAAATAAATTGACTATATTTCGATTTAATAAATTTATTAATCATTTAATTCGATTAGTTATTCATATAATTACAATTTATAGGCGGTAGTAGATAATTTTTATTTATTAAAGATGGGCTGAATTTATAGAAAAAGGAAATAAACGATGTTAATATTGAATATAAAGGCATTGAAAATATTTTATTGATATTTGGGGATAGTTGTAGTTGTCAGAAAATCAATGTTGTTTGACATTTTTTATGTTTGTGAAACGACATTTTTATTTATTAAATGAAAGTGCATTTAGTTGTAATGTAAAGAAGTTGTTATATATGTTGATTATTATTAAATAAGAATTTTTAATCAACAGGTTATAAAGATTTTAAAAATTACGTAATATATATGCTAATTACTTTAGAATGACATTCAATTGAAATGAATTCAATCAATATACGCTTAAAATGAGTTTTAAATTGTATTTCAATTCATATTGAATATTATATACTGTAATCTTATTTTAATTGATATATTATAAGATGGATGCAGTTAAGAAGAAAAGGTAGTAACGGTGATTTACAAAGAATTAAAAATTATTACTCCACACTGGCTTACTATGCGTAAATTTAAATTCTAACGTATAGGATTTAATCATTTTTCATTAAACATTTTTAATTTCGCACAGTTGCAAGCTCGTATTTTTAATATTATCTACACGAAAAAATACGTAAATGAATATTTGTCAAAGTAATGGCATTGGTCCTTCCACTATTTTAGTTATTAATAAGAAATATTCAGATATGAAAATACACTCACAGACATTATAACGAATAACGAGATACCAATACATTTCTGTTTAAATGTAGTTGGATAATTAATAGTTGGACTTGAATATTACACAATGACAATTGATACTCCAAGATATGTAAATATCGCTATTTGCACATCGTAATTAACACCCGTGCAATTTTAATAATTTTATTTAAAGAATATTTCTGCTTCCTACTAACTACATGCTCATCTATTTTTCATATGTCGGCTAAAAGAGATTTTATGGAAAAACGTGGCAATTTGTTCAATTGAATTCAATTGTAAAATTATTAGTGATAAGGTATTACGGACATTCAGCTAAAAATCAAATTTCATCGCAATTTTATCCATACATTTCGGAACTCAAATTAATTTCAATATCATTTTCATTTTCATGGTAATCTAATAATAGACTCGCATGCGATATATCACGTATAAATCAGAGACAATATTGAAAATCACGATATTATTAAAATCCAACTAATCTAAAATAGTCTTTAAATTCAACATTCATCTTCAAATTATCATCGAATTCCAATAAAAAAAAAAAAAAAAATAACAATTTTCTAACTACGAAATAACTTATACGTCGAATTTGGAATAAAATTTGTCGGAGCTTTGTACAACTGCGTCGGGGCAAAGCGCTTAAATTAAATTAATAATTTACTTTTGAGCGAAACCCCAGTAGTCGACGTACCGTCTCAGTTCGTTTAATCATCCGCACGAACAATTGACTTATGAATTGATAATTCTAATATCCTTAAATCCCCTTCGAGATTTACCAGACATTCCCTGCAAGCTGACATTTCACAATACAAACGAACTCATGACAAATTGCCAAACGGCCAGCCAGGCCAACCAAGAAGGAGCATCGAAATGACTAAGATCTTTTCCGCAGCTCGTAAATCGCCCGTAAAATCACCGTTACTTGGCAGCGGCACGCGCCTCCCGACCTCGATCACACGAACAATGTCCGTTCCACCAGGTCTTCGAGGCCCGAGATAATAAAGGACGAGCGAGGGAGTGGTGAGCGCAGGATCAGAGTGGACGACGCCAGTGGACGGCCATAGGATGTCGCGGGCCAGGTCTGCCGAGGAGATGCCCCGGGCGCTGGGGACGAGCCGAGACGAGGTCAGCCTGAGACGAAGACGGGCGGTCGGCGAGTGATAGCCGGTCACGGGGAGGAGGCCCGCGCCATGTCGCGCATAATGCTCTGCAATATCGGTCAGGCCTCGGGCAGTGACACCAACAACAACGCGGGCGTCCAGACGAACGCCCCGACGGCCCAGAGCAGCGTCGACGAGGACGACTCGTATCCGCTGCCGACGATATACCGGTGAGACTACGTCCCTTCGCGGCTTTTCGCTAGGTTCTCACGGGGAGCGCTGATCTCGTTTTTAGAGGCGCTGGTCGGAAGAGTCGAGTGGGACTCGTGGAGTGTCGGTATGGGACACGGCTTGCCGATATTAAAATGTTGCATTAATTTAATTTCTCGCGTTGTAATTACATAGAGGAGTAGTTTCGCATATGCGGCGATACGTATGCGCCTCTCTATAAATTAAGTCCAAATTTAATATTCGCAAGTTGTACGCAGCAGGATTATTTTCTATATCCGAGTATCATCTGCATTATAATTTCAGCATATACTTTACGAAGGAAAAATTAATTTAGTCATGTTTGTTCCAAAGTTTAGTTGATATTTGGTCCGCGCGGAAAATAATAGTTTTACCTTTTGTGAAAACCTATTTCTTAAATGATGTCATGGAGTGTTATTGAAAAATTATGTATTCGTAAAATCGATTGAAAGTTATAATTTAAAATAAAGTAGTTAAATATGCGAATCACACGAGTTGATAGAAATGTTCTTGACTTATCGGCTTTAAAATAAACATATTTAAGTAATTATTAAAAGTCAGTTCAAATACGTCCAAATACACATTATCCCTTTATTTCTAATTAACTAATAATTATTACCTGATATTCTATTTATTTTATTTATGGCACTTATTTAGAATTGATGTTGGTTAGAGTTTTAAATCGATTAAAAATTCTTGAATTGATGTTTATTGACTAATGTTTATCGAACCATTTCGAAACATTTGCCGTTAAAAATCTTTACTGGTAGTTCAGTATCCTCAATTGAAATTGAAAAGCAAATAGAAGCATTTATTACATATAGATATATAGATCTTTGATCGATATTTAATCGGGACGTTACACACAATGCATTAGTAATTAGTGATAATTAGTAATGTTTATTTCCTATTAGTTCACATTAAATTCAATGCCTCTTTTCCAACGAGGAAAATAAATATTTATAATTATAATTTAATTCTGTTTGTATAAGGTTTTTTTTTTCAATCATGTGTGCAATTTCCTATTTTCTAATAAAGTGAAATAAAAAAAAAAAAAAAAAAAGAAAAGAAAAGAAAACAAGAAAAATCTTCTTCACAAACATTTTTGTTATCTTCATAACATACATTTCATAATACTCGTTTCTCTATATATTTCGCTATGAAAGATATAATTGTATTTTCATCCTGATAATACGTTGTCTAAATGATTTGAAAATTGTTTTCCTTCAAATGGAGGCAACGTTGCGCTCAACCACATATATACTAAAATATTTCGGGAACATTTTGCTTTTCGGTTGAGTAAATTTACATTATGCTCGGTATGTTTTTATCTTGATCTTGTTACATATTAGGATATAGAACGCAGTCAAATTTAATAAGAAAATATCGAGAGATAATATTAAATAACAAAATATTTAAGAGGCCGTTGTTAGAAAGTAAGTATGTATTAGAAAAAGTAGCGTCCGTCATTTGACGTTTCTCTCTTTATAATTCTTCAATGCTTGACTAATTCGATTTGAAGTATGAAAATGTCTTTATCATAAAATCATCTAATTAACTTTAATAATAATAATAATAATAATAATAATAATAATAATAATAATAATAATAATAATCGCTAAAGTTATATTTCACAAATTTTTAAGTGTTAACGCTTTGATGTGTAAAATTTTACGTTAAACTCATATTTAAGTCACATTAACAGTGACAATGTGAAACGAACGTTTACCATTAAAGTCATACAGAATTAGTTTATTGGTAACAATTGTTTCCGCTGTTTAACTTACTTCGCCACCTCGAGTAAATTTAAACTTTATATTGTCTTCATTTTCCAATGACGATAACATATTTTTCAAAGAAAATTTCTTTCTACCATCTTCATTATATATTATATTGCTCATAAAACATACATAATACATAATATAATAAGTACATGAAAGGCAGCCGGATACCTTTGCACGTATTTTCTATTAATAATATTCTACTTTAGTGTATTATCAGCCATTGTTATTTTTTATTAGAATTATTACTATTACATATTGAATTTATAAGACTTCAGGTGTAATAAATGTACAAGACTCAAAGTGTAAAAAAATGGCAGATAGAAGAGCGCATGATTCTTTGTTTTATGTATTTTTTCATGTATTTCAAATTCAGTGCATTTTAATACGTTTCGATTATAAAATTTTTTAATATATCCATCTATATATTATACTAAATAAGCTATTATACTAGATAGTTATGATTATCTAGACTGTACTAAATGCGCGTATTAAATAATCGAATAACATTCATAGTATTTAATATTTAAGCGGCGATGATATTTTTTTATACGCGCACTTGCGCTGTTATAAGCTGGCATTGATGGCTAAAACAATCAACGAATAAATACGTAATTGCACATTACGGTATTCTCGTAAATCAAAATAAGTAAGCGCTCGCATACTCTTAACATTTTTCTCAATTTTACGCTGCCCGAGAAGTCGCGTTTGACATTAATTTTTATTACTCCAAAAGGCCACAATTATCTGCGCGACAAACATAAAAACTTAATGCCGACGGAATAGACGCGCCGACACAAGAAACGATGGCGATTTTACCTAACTGGCCAATCCCGGTATAGGCTAAACCGGAAGTAGGTGTTACTCCATTATTTAAAGCGCAAACTTCTTTTCAAGAGTTGAAACTTCTTTTCGTAGTAAATTAGATTTCCAGAAGAACGCGCGGCAAATGAAATATAAAGTCGCCAACTTTTTGCCGTTCGAAGCTGAATTACCCCGTCGTGGAACCTGGGCGCTGAGTACATTTTAAGCTCTCGCATCGTTTAATCGCGTGAGCAGTGACTCTCAACGCGCTCGCGTGAAAATCGTCGCGACTCCTTCTCATTAAGGGCGCTGCTGCAGGTGCCGGGCGCCAATAGCGAGTCTCGACTGCATGGAGGAGTTCAACGGGGGAACGGATACGAGCGGACAATACGGGAGCACACCCGGTACCAAGGAGCACCTGCTAACCAACTGCCTGGTCAGTCATTCGCAGCGGCTCCAGCATAATCCGTCGCCAGGTATTCGCTATCGCAACTTGGGCAAAAGCGGTCTACGTGTTTCCAATGTTGGATTAGGTACGCTTTACATGTATTTTAAGTCTAGTCACTGTCTTTTTTTCTCGCACTTGCTTTTTCCCTCGTTTCGTTTACATTCCCATTGTTTATACCATTGAATGATGGGTCGAGTCGCCCACTTTGTCTTTATCACCCGATTCGCCGCTGTTCTCCTCTTCCGCTTTTTATCGGCAAAGAAGTGAGAATGTGCTGGATGAAAGACGCTTGGTAGCTGTGGGTGGGGGGGAAGGAGCATCGATGGTTCCGTAACACATCGAAAGATATTTGGCCTTTAAATTCGCTGCTTTTTCTTAATATTCCCTTCCTCCGAACAATTATTCACAACGAGATTTCATTGCATTATTTTTCGAGCTAATTACGAGCGACGCTGATTGACTTTTTTTCGAATCGATTGATCATTGCATTTAATTTAAATTAAACCTCATTTCATCCAATGAATAATTTAATCGTGATTTAAAGTAAGAGCCTTGAAAACCAAAAGTTTGCTATATCTGCAAAA